GAACCCAGTGCTGGGTTTCTCACAAACCCAGACCTGGGTTTCAAGAAGAACCCAGACCTGGGTTCCTCTCGAAACCCAGCATTGGGTCTGCGCGGAACCCAGCTGGCTTGGCTCAAAACGGGGAGGACCACGGCAATCTCCGGTTGGGGCAGCCAGAGCTGTACAAGCAAGCTGAGAGGGACGATCCCAAAGCTCTCCTTGATGGCGTCGATGTTGCTGGACTTGTTGGAATCTTGCGCCAATTAGGCGATCTCGCTGAGTATTCTTATTTGATTTTGCTCTTCAATTTTGGGGATTGATGGTGTTTCTAGTGTTGCATGAAAAAATTTGGAAATTGATTTTTGTTTTAATGTTGAGTTTCATAGTATGTATAGATTGAACTCTGAAGAATGTGAGGATTGATTGAACTGCAGGGGAAGAATTTAGGCAAGCTAAAGTTGTATTGTTTGTTAGTTTTTTTAAAAATTTAAGGGAATTGAATGTTTGAGAATGTAATTTCTTCCACCTCCCCAACGATCCAAGCGAGCTGGGTTCCTCGTGAACCTAGGCTCTTGGGTTCGCCTAGAGGTAAAAGAAAAAAAAGAAAGGCTGGAGGAAGAAGATGAGGGTATATCAGTAATTAAAAGTAAAAAATTTAACATATCATTAATTTTGGGCCGGATTTGTGAACAGTAAGGACCAAAAAAGGGATTTTTGCGGTATTGGGACCAAAAAGGGGTTTTTTCCTATAGTAGAGGGACCAAAAAGGGTATTTAACCTACATTTTTTTAGATTAAAACCCCATTTTAGTCCTTGAACTATTGTACGAATCTCTGATTTGGTCCATAAACTAAAAAAATCCTTGATAGTCCCTACTGTTTATCATTTTAACCCCAATTTGGTCCTTTCATTAAAATTCTACCTACGTGTGTTGTTAACTAACAGAAGCATAATGATATGTCAAAAAATAATCCACGTGGAAAGATAGCATGAAAGAAAATAATGATTTAGCAATAAAAATTTTAAAAATTCCCTTTCTCCTTTCTCTTTCCTTTTCACTTTCCTCTTCCCTTCATGGATCAATTCTTTATCATCATCAAATAACAAAACCTACAAAAACATAGAAATTTTTTTATCGAAGAACGTGCCTAGGTTCAAAAGAACCTAGTGCCTGGGTTCAATCGAAACCCAATAGACGTCCTTTCTCCTTCCTCTTCTTTGCCTTCTTCATCAATCAATTCTTTATCTTCATTAATCAATTCATCATCATCATCAAACAACAAAACTCCAAAAAAAAAAAGAAAAATTTTTTTTTCCCTAGGTTCGATGGAACGTAACGTCGAGTTCTACAAAACCCAATGTCAGGTTCGAAGGAACCCAGGCCTGGGTTGGAACCCAGCACCTGTTCATCAAAGGAACCCAGCACCTGTTCATCAAAGGAACCCAAGCCTAGGTTGGAACTTACTGTTGGGTTCAACGAAACCTAGAGGCGGGTTCTATGGAACCCAACGCTTGGGTTTCGAGAACCCAAAAAGAAGGAATTAAAAAAAATTTGTCATATTAATATTTTTTATTATATTAATATTTTTTTCATGTCACTCTTTTTTATCGTGTTATCTTCCACATGTATTAATATTTCACTATGTTATCATGTTACGGTAAATTAATTGGACACGTAGATAGAATTTTAACAAAAAAATCAAACCAGAGTTAAATGGGCAAACAGTAAGAATTAAATTAGGGAATTTTTTACTTTAAGGACCAAATCAAAATTCCGTACAATAATTCAAGAACTAAAATAGGGTTTTATCTTCTTCTTTTTTAATTCATTTTAGCTTTTTTTTTTTTGGCTCTTTTTTATTTACTGAACTAGGTCAGGTTGACCCAACCCAGAAACAGAACCATCACTCGAAATAAACAAAAACAGATCAAACATAAAAAAAAGAAACTTAAAATTAGGGTACATGAAAAAATACGTTCATCATAAAAAAATCACATTCATCAAAAGAAAAAAAAGCACATTCATCAGGCAAAATGAACTGGACAAATTTTTTTTTTTTTTT